TCCTCCAGCATTCTCTCCCTTCTTGTGGACCAATTCTGGTAAGAACGGCCAGCAAACCATATTCATGTCCTCTGCTGAGGCCAAGAAGAGCCGTTTGTGAAGCGGGGAATCTACGGTGGGAAGGTCTGTGCGGGGCGGTTGAGGGCAGGGAGAGCTGGCAGCTCCAGGTTGATGTCGCTCAGATAGGAGGAGACCAGTGAGAACTGGCCGCGTGGGGGCCTTCATGTCCCACTGCAGAGCGGACTTTGCTGTGGGAGGACACTGCTGCCCGGCTTCTCAGCTCATTGCACACTTCCCCCACAGCCTGAAAATGCCGGGGAGCTTACGCTGCACTCCCTACCTGCTTGTTCTTTGAAAGTGAAGCACGCTCGTGCCATCCAGATTTGTCCCGAGCCCTTGAACAAATGCATTCAAGATATCCCCAGAGGGTGATGAGAAAGGCTCACTTCACTGTTAGGAGTGTATGCTGATGCTAAAGCACCTTGGCAGTATACATCAGGTGTTTGCTGTGAGCTCATGTCCATGATTTACAAGAAAGAGCAGAAAATTGGAACATACCTAAATAGATGACTTGAGGTGTGCCTGGTAAAAAAGTTATGGTTTACTGCACATGACGGAAGGTTCTAAAATGATAGAAAGCGATGGTGACAGAGACTTAAAGGACATGAGGAAATACACAAATGAAAAAAATTAGTGTGTGAAATTGTATCTAGTATGATGTCAGCTGTGGAAAAATGTAGGAAAATAAGCTAAACCATGAATCCAGGGCTTCTGGATTTTAGGTGATTTTATTTCCTATGCTTTATACTTTATGAATTTTTTACATTGACTTCACAGTAAGGAGAAAAGACCTTCATATCCTTCAACCCCATAAATTTACTTCTGGGAATCTTTCAAAGAAAATAATTGTAAATACAGATTACGAGCTATATGCACAGGGATGTTCCTTTCGTCATAGTTTTTTAAATTGAGATGTAATTCACATATACTATGAAAATCGCCATTTAAAGCATGCTGGTTACTAGTTTTTAGTATAATCACAAAGTTGCGCAACCATCATCCACTATCTAATTCCAGAACATTTTTATCACCCCCCAAAGGAAGGCTAACCCCTTAGCAATCACTCCCCATTCTCTCTTTATCTCCAACCCCTGACAACCGCTGATCTACCCTCTGTCTCTGAATTTGCCTGGTCTGGACATTTCTTGTAGATGGATGCATACAACATGTAGCCACTATGTCTGGCTTCTGTCACCCAGCACAGTGACTTCAAGGTCCATCCATACTGTAGCATGTGCCAGTACTTCGTTCTTTTTTTGTGGCTGAGTAATATTCCATTGTATGGATAGACCATGTTTTATTTGTCCATTCATCAGTTGATGGCCCTTAGTTGTTTTCACCTTTTGGCTATGGCGAATAATGCTGCTGTGGACATATGTTTTCGTTTCTCTTAGGTATACACCTAGGTGTAGAATTACTGACCCATATGGAAACTGTGTTTAACTATATATTTGAGAAATTGCTGAACTGTTTTCCAAAGCAGCTCTCATGAATATTTACACTAGTGGAAATTAGGAAATAGTGTAGCTATCAATAGTAGGAGAGTGCTTAGGTAAAACGTATTAATCCCCTTAACGAACTGTTTGTAAAAATGCAAGTTATTTATTCTTAGACCGGGTGCTGGGGGTTCAAAGGCAGCTGAGACAGGGTAATTGTTCTCAAGGAGCTTAATCTATTCAGTTGTTCCAGGTGCTGTTTACAAATAATTTATAACAAGCGGGGACAGAATACTTAGGCTATAGTGTTAGGCCACCTTGAGTAATTTTTGGAGAGACTCAAGGTATGAATTATTAAGTAAACATGTTACAAACTTAAGTGGAAAAGGCAGGGGAGAAAATTGTGTATACTGTATGATCATGACTATGTCAGAAAAAGACGAATAAAGAGAACATATAGAAAAAAGATGGAGGAAGACACATCAAAATAGGAATAATGGTTGTTTTTGAGTGGTGGTGTGCATGGACATTTCTCTCCTATTTAGGTGTATTTCCTAAACTTTGTGTAATAGAAACAAAAATACCCTGGCGTCTGTGTGTGGTGATCGTAGGAAGGAGTTGGTGGGAAAAATCTAGCATCAAGTTTTTGGGGAGATGAGAACTCAAGAGCCTGGACTGGCATACCTGTGGGTGACAGGACAATAAATTTAGATATCCTCGATGCTCTTATTGAAAATCATGCCCAAATTTGTCTACATACAATGAAGTTACAGCTGTCTGGAAGTCTGGAGCGTGTGTCATCCTGATAAACAGGTGGATGAAGCAGAAGCGCAGCATAGATGTTTCACGGTGTGATGGATGAAGCCAGGGAGTGGGTGTTTCTCCCTGCTGTCAGCTGCTTCCTTTGCTGCCTTCTTCCTGCCCAAGGGCCCCCTGTCCTTGCCTTCTAGTTTACCACTTCTGTCTTTTGGGAGCTGGAAAACTTCTTCATTGAGCCTGTTCGAACTGCTGTCAAGTGAGTAGAAGGTCTCCAAGTGTGAGCCCTGTGGACAGAGGAGATGAACGGCAAGGACTTGATAACTTCTCCTCCTTGCTCGCGGTGCGAGCTGGACTCCAAGAGGCATGACTCGTCATCTGCTTGCTTCAAAGTACTGATTCTGTGGATGATCATGCAAAGTCCATGCTCTGTTTAGAGAAGTGGAATCAGAGACGTACGGATTCTATATCAGGCCAAAATAAAATTTACCAAAATGGTAGATGTGTCAGTTTATTTTTAGAAGAAAGAGTATGGAAGTGTTATTTTACTTACTTGCGTTGTTTATTGGATAGAAAATTGAAAACTATGAACTTGCAATAGTTTTATAACAGTTGTGAGTTGTAAAGTAAATGAATTGGGCTCAGCAGTGCTAGAAGGTCAGGCTTCCCACATATGTGTATATATATATATATATATATATATATTTTTTTTTTTTTTTTGTGGTATGCGGGCCTCTCACTGTTGTGGCCTCTCCTGTTGCGGAGCACAGGCTCTGGACGTGCAGGCTCAGCGGCCATGGCTCACGGGCCCAGTTGCTCCGCGGCATGTGGGATCTTCCCGGACCAGGGCACGAACCCGTGTCCCCTGCATCGGCACGCGGACTCTCAACCATCGCGCCACCAGGGAAGCCCTATACATATTTTTAATTAATTTATTTTACCTTTAGCTGCGTCGGGTCTTCGTTGCTGCACAGGGCTTTTCTCTAGTTGTGGTGAGCGGGGGCCACTCTTTGTTGCGGTGCGCGGGCTTCTCATCGCCGTGGCTTCTCTTGTTGCAGAGCACAGGCTCTAGGCGCACGGGCTTCAGTAGTTGTGGTGTGCAGTCTTCAGTAGTTGTGGCTCACGGGCTCTAGAGCGCAGGCTCAGCAGTTGTGGCGCACGGGCTTAGTGGCTCCGCGGCATGTGGGATCTTCTCGGACCAGGGCTCGAACCCGTGTCCCCTGCATTGGCAGGCGGGTTCTTAACCACCGTGCCACCAGGGAAGCCATTCCCACCTATATTTGTCTACTAAATGAGATCACGTATGTCAGGATGCTTAGAACGTGCCCGTGCTTGGGCATCTTTCTCTAGGCTTATACGTGTATCTAGAATAGCAGAGTTGTGCTCAGGACTCAGTTTATCTTCAGGTAGCATTTGTTGTGGCTTGGTCCCATTCAGGACTTGAGTCACGCACAGCAGTCTGCTGTTACCTGTTTGACTTGGAACCACGCCGCCACCACACCATTCCTGACCCGTAAAGGAACTGTGCTGCGGACACTGGTGTTTGGGGCTGGGACCGGCACTATGCAGTAGGCTCATCTTGTGATGTTGTGGGGTTTTGAGCGCATCGTATTTGAGAGGATTTCCATGGTGTGTTTTGCCTTCTGTATATGTATTTCTGTTTTGATATTGACTCTAACTTCTTAAAACCATTATGTTTAAAACGAAGATGAGTTCAATCAGTGCCGTTCTGATAGTGTTTATCAATTTCTAAAAGCTCCTGGGAGAGACAGAGCTTTGTTGTCGAACCAGTTTGGGGAAATAACATGTTCAAAATTCATACTTGTCTTGTGGGGCTTGGCGTTGGTTGTGGTGTCTCACTTTCCTGGGGCCAGAGACTGGAACAGAGATGTGGGAAGACTGAGTTAGTGAAATTTAGGTTATCAGATTCCCATGCATACCAGTCAATGTGCATTTATAGAGACAACTGAATAGATAGCTGCCTGGACTCAGACGATTATAGGGGCGGCTTGTTTTATGCCACAGCTGTCTTGTCAATCAGTGTGATCGTGGGGTGTAGGGGCGGGGGAGGTTCTACTTAAACCCATCTGGAAAACCTTTCCTTTATCTATCTGTGTCAAGCCAAGCTTTCCTTGATCAGATTTACTTCAAGGAGGATACTTTGCAGTTTCTGATTCCTTCTGTGTAAAGAATACAGGCAGTATTTAGTAGGCATCTCCTTGTATTGTTACCATGCTTGTTTGGCTTTTTGCCTTTGGTCAGTGGTTAACATTTAACTCCTTCACTTATGACCACTGGTAGATGAAACTTACAAATACATTTTAGATACATTTAAGCTGTAATGTACAGAAGCTGAAAGTTGTGAGGGGGGAACAGTTGTCAGGGAATGAGAACATAGGTGCTCTCCTGTTGTTGTGGCAGAGCGACATTCCATTGTCATCACCTCATTAAACATACAGCTTGGAAGAAGATGCTTGTTTTGCCTGTTCTGTAACTGTCAGTGTCGTTTTTGCTGGTCTTTAAAGTTGCACTGCGGGATAGTAACGCTTTTCACTGTGAGCGCACTGATATTGTTACTGATGATTGTTGAGGCAAAGCCAGTGAGTTAATTTTCCAACCACATAGTTGGAGCAAAAGCAGTCAATTACATAATAATTTTGTATTGAAACCGAATTCTAGAGTCGATTCAGCAAACTTACATGAAATTGACCTCACTTTCAAATTTGCTTTCATAATTTTATTTTGCAGGATAACAAAGCCATTGACCTTTGCCGACTGTGTTGGGGATGAACTTCCGTTAGGATGGGAAACTGTATATGATAAACAAATTGGAATTTATTACATGGACCACATAAATAGTAAGTACAGTGCCACACTTGAGTTGTTACATATGGATGACTTTCCATATTGATCCCCCGGTAGCTAGGAACTCTTTTTGTAGAGTGAAACAATTGTTACTCTCCAATGCAGCATTAAACTGGATTTTTATCAGTGTCATCAGAAGTGTTGATTAGCTGAGTTCTTCAAAAAGTGAAGCAGTTGTGTAGCTACCTGGCTTGTGTGTTGCTCAGGACTGCATGGAATATGTGGGATGCAGAGTTTGAATACCTAAAAGAAGGAATAAATTTCCCAGGCAGTTTAGTAATAGAAATCTCTCTCAAAATGAGAAGGGTGTTTCTAGCAGAGTGAAGTTTACAAGTTCTTGGAACAATAAATGCCCAAGTGGTTACCTTAACTTCATTTTGTCTTATCCCTTTGATTTTAGCTTTAATATACCAAACATTTTGGAGCTTTGTGAAGGGAGAAAATGATGTAAAGACCACAGCTAAAATAATGGGTCCTTGACCATGCCAGCCTTCTTGGTAGAATTGTCGGGAGCGGTGGTTCTCACCTGGGGCTGGTTTTGCCTCCCAGGGACACATGGTAGTGTCTGGGGCATTTTTCATGGTCATGCCTGGGAGAGGTGCTCCCGGCATCTGGTGGGTGGAGGCCAGGGATGCTGCTCCCCCTCGTGAAGTGCCCAGGACGGCCCCCCGAAGAGGCTGAGCCGCCTGGAGTGTCCGTGGTGCCTAGCTGACGCGCTGCTTCCCGCCCTCCTTGCTCTCTGCCGCCTCCTCAGCCTTCCTCCATCTGGGACCAGCTGGGGACCCATTTCTCTCTCAGATTCACATTTCTTCACTCCCCCCTTTTCGTTCTAGCTGCCTCGTGTTTCTGTCATCGTCATTACTACTGGGGATCCGAAGTTCCCCTTGGTGTGCTTTCTGTCCTTCAGGTTGTTGAGTGCGGGGGAGGCCGGGGGTGGGGTGCCCAGCATGTGAGTGACGAAGCTCCTCCCACGCTCAGTCCCACGGCTCCTCCTGTCCCCTTAGTGTGATCGACCCGGGCTGGTACCTTTAGGGCTGATTCCTGCATTGTCACCTGCCGGCCGGCCTCTGAGTTCAGCGTTTGGAACTCTGAATGGCGAGGCATCCTGGCTGGCTCCTGGGGCAGGGGAGTTTCCAATCCGTACCCTCAGCCTTCACGTGACTGCGGCTCTCACCCAGGGATTGGGCAGGGGGGTGAGTGCCGCCCTGGCCCTGCTGCCCTCCCCGGCGGTTATGCCAGTGGCAGGAGGGCTTCCGGGTGGGTCTGCCGCCCTCCCTCTGGCCCGGCTGGCCCGGTGCCCCTGGGCTGCGTGTGGCCGGGCTGTCTGGCCCTTCTGGGCCACCTTCCCTGTGCTGTGGGCCTCTCTGGGCCCGGGCGGCAGTGCTGAACGGCACAGGCATCCGCCTTACACAACGTTTTTGGAAGCCGCCTACCTGCCGCCGAGGCCTCTGGCTCGTCTCTCGTAAACCCCAATTGCTCCTCCCTCTGTGTCCCCTTCTTTGCCGCTGGTGTGCCTTGCTGTCCTGCTGGCTGAGTCACAGCGAGTGTCACAGAGCACCTCTGTATGCTGGCCACTCTTGAGGCCCTGGGGACACAGGAAAGTGAGACCCAGGCTCCACCATGAGGATTCAACATGACATGCTGGACTTGGCCATGAACCCGAAAACCGAAGAATCACCACGGACTTTCTTCCGGCCCCCTTGAGTATAACGGGTGACCCAGCACCATGGGGGATGTGGCTGAAGACATCAGCTCCAGGGTCATACCACCTCCTCCCTCTGAGGCCTTCAGGGAACCCAACTCTTTTTTTTTTTCCCAGGAACATAAAAGATTATTATTGTAACAATTAGTACATGGGCCAGAGACCCCATTCCAGAAAACTTGCTCCTGAGAATCTAACTCTTGATAGCACAGCTTTATAGCTCTCTAAAGGCACAGGACCTGGGGAGTCAAATATTAAGTTGGAACTGTGCAGATTGATGGTGACGTGAGGGACCGGAGGGGCCCTGCGTGGATCACCTGCAAGGTTCCCAAGACTCTCGGGTGCACTGGACAGAGTGCGAACGATGCCTGTCGGCTGGGGTGAGTCTCATGGCTGAATCAACGTCAGAGACATCCGGGCACTTATAACAGCTGTGACTCTGCCCGCGCCCCCTCGGCCCACTGAATCTGGACTCCGGGGCTAGGTCAGGACCCCGATTTTTGTTGTCTTTGTTTTTTATTTCCCCATGGGAGCTTTTAAGGCCCAGGGAGGCTTTCTAGGAGGGGCCCTGGGGTAGCAGTGTGAAGCGGGGTAGGGGATGTTGCTGGGAGGGAGTTTAAAAAGGAAGGACTTACTTGAAACATCCTAGCAGGTGCTGTGTGTGTATGGGGCAAAGATAACCTAAAATTTACATTTTTAACCATTTTGATGTGAGTTGCACAGAACGTAAAGTTCACTGTTTAAAAGTCTGCAGTTCAGTGGCAATTGGCGCATTCACAGTGTTGTCCAGCTTCCACTTGTATCTAGTTCCAGAGCATTTCGTCACGCCAAGGTACAACCTTGTGCTTTAAAAAAGGCCATGTGTTAGAGAACCGGAGGCAGAGTTGGGAAGGTCACTTTGGTGAGCGCACGGAGGATGGCTTTTGGCGGGATGAGGCAGGCAGCCTGCGTGTTTTTGGAGAGAGATCGTGAGGGTCTGATTGAAGTAAGGGGAGAAGGAGAGAAGGCGTACGTCGGCCACTGTGATACGCAGGGGCAGGAATTGCCAGTTGTGGATGACCCATGGAATACTCTGTGTGGGGAGAGGAGCGCACGAGTCCTCTGAGGGCGAGTCCCAGGCTGGCTCAGTGGGTAGATCCAGAGGAAGGCGCTTACTCAGAGGGGCAGGCGGGAGACGCAGGCGCTCGTCAGCGTGGCTTCCTCTGCTTTGCTTTGGTTTGTGTAGTGAAAGGGCGCTGTGTGAGAATGAGTTCTGCTTTGGACGAATGACTCAGAATTACTTTGCGTTCGTCCAGGTGGAGATGCCTCTAGGAGGGAGGAGGAAGGAAAGGATGGGCGCTCAGGGGAGAGGTTGGAGCCGGAGGTGGGCGTGAGCCCTTACGGGAGCTGCTAGAGTGAGAGATCCAGAGCGGAAAACGGGGGATTTATGGGAAGTCCAGGAAGAATGCAGAAGGACGTCGTCTGGCGTGGGAGGTGGGAGAAGGGGAGCGAGCCAGTCACGGGGACAGCAGAGCCCACAGCAGCCTGGCTTGAAGAAGGCAGGGAGAGGAAGCTTGGACGTGTGTCTTAGTTTGACAGGGATGACCTCCTTTGGGTTCATGTCCACTAACATTTACTTAGAGTGTGAAAAGTTGCCTGGTACCGTCTTCCCCTCCATGGAGCTATTGCATGTCTACAGAGCTTTCTTCTCCTCCCAAGCGTGGATATGTAAATAGGACGTGATCCGCACTCTGGGAGGTTCGTTATATAGACGCTTCCATAATGTACCTCCTGGTAGTTAGTTAATTTTCTCATCGACTAGTCATATAACTGCATGATTATTGGTCAATGTAAAGATTTTACTTTGAAGTCCCTTATGTTCTTACCTTTTCAATTTCAGAGCTTACCCAGATTGAGGATCCCAGAGAACAGTGGAGGCGGGAGCAGGAACGGATGCTGAAGGAGTATTTAATTGTAGCCCAGGAGGCCCTCAACGCCAAGAAAGAAATCTACCAGATTAAGCAGCAGCGTTTCGAGCTGGCCCAGGAAGAATACCAGCAGCTGCACAAGATGTGCGAGGATGACGGCCGCTCGTACGCCAGCTGTGAGTTCACCGTCCTCCGCGGTTAACACGCGTGACTTCCAGAGCTGTCTCTCTGCTAGGCTTTTTGCAGACACTGAGCTTGAGTCAGGCAAGACAGCTTCCTAAATTTTCTAATCGCAGATTGTTAGGTAGTCAGCCTTCCACACTGGAATCCGACGGCCATTCACTACCGCTCCTTCAGCAAATGTTGATCAAGTGTCCGCCTTGTGCCCAGGCACTGCAACACGGGGGGAGCCCAAGAAAAGAGAGGCCCCTGCCCTCCCGGAGCTTCCATGCGGGTGGGGAAGGGAGAAAATAAACAAGCATGTTTCAGGTAGTGACACGAAACAGCCTCCTGGCTTCTGTTTGTCAGCGTGGAAAAGGGCTTCACCCAGAGATCTCTGCCGTTATTCCTGCTTGTCTGGGGTGGTCCCTGGGAAGGCCATACGATGGTTTTGTTGGTCCTGGATGGAAAGATTCAGGAGCCTCCACACATGTCAAGCCCCTGTCTCTTTGTAGCATACTTTCTTGGGCAAGACACTGAAGGTGGGGGAACTCAGTATAACGTGGGGAATCAGGGGAACTCTGTCTGCCCCTCAAGTGAGATGGGTGCACACTGACGTCTTCCAAAGGGGACCCCTCCGAGTTTTGGAGGCTGCCGGACGTGGCCTCCTGTTTCAGGAGGACTCAGCAGATGCTCAGGAATTGAAGGAATCAGGTCCAGTCGCAGAAGCCAAAGCCTCTGGTTACTGACCCAGTCAGTCACTTCCTGAGCCGGTCCCTTCCCGACAAAGTTGTCACGCTTAACCAACCACAAGCAGGTGCTTGTGGCCATGCCTGTCCCGCGTGCCGGTGAGCTTGGGGAGAGTGTATGAAGTCGGTACTGCTAGGTTTTATTGTATAAAAACCTAAGTCTGGTTGAGACATGAGGGACTTACTGTGACGTGACTGCCACGTTGCCAGGTATTTGGCTCTGGTGACACAGCTTTGAACGTTAAGGACGTGGTCAAAGCTTTATCCCGTTTTGCAGGTCAGAATGGAGTTGAGGCCAAGGGGCCAAACATCTTTTTCACTGCAGCATACAAGCTGTGAAGAAGAGAGCAGTGGGGGTGGGCTTTGCCTCCTGTAGCAGGAATTGAGATGGCTGTGTCTCCATGTGCCATGAGAGAATGCAGGCTCAGGTATGATGGTATGTTGTTTCCAGGCTGCTTCATCTCTTGTTCTTTAGCTATTGATATGTACTAGGTTTTTTTCTTGTTTGTTTCTTTTTTTTTTTTTTTTTTTTTTTTGCAGTACGCGGGCCTCTCACTCTTGCGGCCTCTCCCGTTGTGGAGCACAGGCTCCGGACGCACAGGCTCAGCAGCCATGGCTCACGGGCCTAGCCGGTCCGCGGCATGTGGGATCTTCCCGGACCGGGGCACGAACCCGTGTCCCCTGCATCGGCAGGCGGACTCTCAACCACTGCGCCACCAGGGAAGCCCTTGTTTGTTTCTTTTTAACTGTCCATCAGAATGTGATGGGTCAGCTCAGTGCTAGTTTTTAGAAAAGTCTGGTCTCTTCCTAGTTTTCTTTACTTGTAATGTCTTTCTCTGATTTTGGTATCAGGATAATACTGGCCTTACAGAATGAATTGGGACGTGTTCCCTTCTCCCCAGGCTTTGGAAAGTTCGTGTGGGATTGGTATTAATGCTTTCTTAACAGTTTGATAGAATTCACCAGAAAAGCCATCTGGACCTGGAGGTCTTTGTGGGAATGTTTGTAACTATAAATTCAATACCTCTAATAGATACAGGGCTAGTCAGATTTTCCTGTTTCTTCTTGAATCAGTTTTGGTATTTGTGTGCTTCAAGGAATTCGTCTCTTTCATCTAATCCAAAAATCAGTAATCTTTTCTGTAAAAGATCAGATAGTGTTTTAGGCTCTGTAGGTCATATGATCTTAGATGCAGCTACTCAACCCTGTTGTTAGACTGCAAAAGCAGCCAGAGATGATACCTAAATGATGTGTGTGGCTTGTTCTGATAAAAGTATAAAAACAGTAACAAGCTGGATTTGGCCCACGGGGAATCTGCTGAATGCTGATCCAAGCTGTCAAGTTTATGAAGTTTTTTGTAGAATTCCTGCATGATTCTTCAATGTCTGGATGCTGAGCTGGTGTCCCTTCTCGTATTTGTGGTATTAATAATTTGTCTTAATCAGCACAGCTCAATGTTTATTGATTGTGTGTAGCATTACAGCGAACTGGCTTTTGGTTTTCTTTTTTTTCCCCCCAATTTCTTGTCTGTTTTCTATTTTATTGGTTTGTCCTTTATTATTTCCTTCTTTCTACTTAGTTTGGCTTTAATTTGTTCTTTTTCTACCTTCCTAAATTGGGAGCTTACACCATTGATTTCAGACCTCTTTTTTCTCACATAGCCTCTAAAGGTATAAATTCTCCTCTAAGTACTACTTTAACTGCATCCCACAAATTTTGGTATTTTCATTTTCAGTAAGTTCATAATATTTTCTCATTTTCTTTGAGATTTCTCTCTTGACCCATGGGTTCTTTTAAAAGTAAGTTGTTGGCTTCCCTGGTGGCGCAGTGGTTGAGAGTCTGCCTACCAATGCAGGGGACACGGGTTCGTGTCCCAGTCCGGGAGGATCTCACATGCTGCGGAGCGGCTGGGCCCGTGAGCCATGGCTGCTGAGCCTGTGCAACCGTAGTCTGTGCTCCGCAATGGGAGAGGCCACAACAGTGAGACGCCCGCATACCGCAAAAAAAAAAAAAAAAAGTTAAGTTGTTGGGGGAATTCCCTGGTGGTCCAGTAGTTAGGATTCCTCGATTTCACTGCCGAGGGCCCGGGTTCAGTCTCTGGTTGGGGAACTAAGATCCTGCAAGCCGAGTGGCATGGCCGAAGAAAAAGTAAGTTGTTGGAACTTTTTAAAGGTATCATGTTGTTGATTTCTAATTTAATTCCATTGTGGTCAGAGACTAGACGTATAAGATTTCGATCTTTTGATATCTATTCAGATGACTTTCGGGGCTCGGCATATGGTCTCTTTTAAGTGATCTCATGGACTTGGTGCCTCGAGGTCACACTTGGCTGAAGCATTGGCTTATAACTGTTTCTGAAAGCATATAGTTAGCGATTCTAAACTTTTCCAAAAGTTACTTGGTAGAAGTAGATTGAACCATATACAATTGTCATTTATGTAGCTTAAAAAGGCCCAAGTATTGGCAATTTCGTATGATTCAACCTAATAGAGTATTTCTTCCTAGTAGCCTGTAGGCACCTCATCTGTTCCATGGTCAGGTTTGGTTAGGTCTCCAAAGAGGCTTTCCAGTCAGTCTTTCTAAGATGGGAGAAGCACATATCAGAAAAACCTGGCAGGAAGTTTCTTGCCAGTCATTGAAAGGACAAACTTCATCAAGAGAAGGTGTGTTTTATGTACTGGTTACTGTACTGGTGCAGCCAGGACTTCAGTTGCAGTGAGTGTGGGGACTCGGGATTGGAGCCCTTGAGGATGCAAATATAGGAGGACCTAGTTGCAGCCTATCGGGTTCTATGCCCAGCCCGAGGGGAGGAGTCGCATAGCAACGTGGAGCCTAGAGGGTGAGGGCATCCAGAACTTATAGTCCTCTGGAGCTGGGACTTCCCTCAGCATCAGTTTTTGTATTTCCACGGGCTTTTCACTCCGTTGACATTTGGGCAAGTAGGGAATTGCACTCAATTTCATTCTTCCTGTGCTCCGTAGAATTTTATTAATGCCCAGTAAAAAAGAAACACTTGAGATGCTGTCTTTGAAATCATATATGAGGAAACCTTGAGTCAAGGAAGGTGATGACTCTGGGGTGTTGACTTGAGATCCTACCATGAGACTCCACTCCCCAACCCGTGAGAGGTCCCTGCGTAGACGCGATCTCTGCCTCTACTCGTGCAGGTGGCATTGGAGGCCAGCTTAGGCCATTTTCATGAAGGGCTGGAGATGCCAGTGGCTCTTGCTGGAGCCTGTCTCCTCAGGGAAAAAGACTATGAATGGAAGCTAGGAACTAATTCAAGCATTTTATCAAGTTGCTGCTATCCCTGCGGTTTTTGATCAAGCTCTTTCTTTTCTTTTTTTTTTTTTTTGCGGTATGCGGGCCTCTCACTGTTGCGGCCTCTCCCGTTGTGGAGCACAGGCTCCGGACGCGCAGGCTCAGCAGCCATGGCTCACGGGCCCAGCCGCTCCGCGGCACGTGGGATCTTCCCGGACCGGGGCACGAACCCGTGTCCCCTGCATCGGCAGGTGGACTCTCAACCACTGCGCCACCAGGGAAGCCCGATCAGGCTCTTTCAATTTGCCATTTAACCTGAACTTCATTGAGGATAATTCTGTTAGATATGACTCAAATGAACTATTTCTGGCCACAGGCTAAAGTTCAAGACAATGATCCTGGTGGCTTGTGCTCTAACAGATGTCTCCTACAGAGGTCCGGGCCCACATCAGGAGCTGCTGGTGGCAGGATCCATGGCACACCTGGGCTCCAGTTGGCCACCTGGGTCTGGCACAACCCAGGTCGCTCACATTGTTAGTCATCTAAAGCAGGGCTCCTTGCTCGGGTACTGGGAACAACAGAGGGAGATTTGGACTTATTTCCCATTACTTCCTTCATTGACAGTGACTCCAAGTGAAAGGAAGCAACATCTAATGGGCTAGTGTTTTCCTGCATTGTTGTGATTGCAACATCGTGAAGCACTGTAACATGGTAATGTTATTTTCGGTGTACACACAGAAACAATATTGGGTAGGCTAAGTTACTTCTTGAAGGTTACATCCCTAGTAAACGGTAGACCTTGGATTTGAACCCATATCTTTTTGTGTAGCTAGCCTTCAGTGCTGTGTAGTATTTCCGAGACATGGAAGAGTCAGCTCAGAAGAACTGATCATGGCTTTGGAACAGGCTGCCCTCCCATTGTTCAAGTTACCTGGAAATAAGGACCCATTATAAATTGACAAGTCCGGCAATTTCACAACACTTGAAGGGGCACGTGGAAGGCAGAA